CACCAGGAGGAGATGGAGGCCCTTTCTAGATGCTTCCATAGGAGGCTGGTCCCCCAGCAAGGCCCAGCCTGCCCCTGGGGAGGCCCCTGGCTGTGCTCCCGGGAGGCGGAGTCTGAGCCTCAGCTGCCTCCTGGGCCCCAGGGCAGCCTCGGGGACACGGGGAGAGCGGGCTGCTCGGTGGGGAGGGCAGCGAAGGGGCGTCTGCACCTCGGACCACAGTGGGGTGAGCCTGGGGGGAGGGTGACTGTCTCGGGTCCAGAGAGGGGTCACCAGGGTGTGCATGTCTGGGCCCTTCTCTGACTTCCTGAACTTTGTGCGGGAAACGTGGAGAAGGTTTCTGTCATCGACTCTGCACCCGCACGTGGAGCGTGTACGTGTGTGAGGGTCACACGCGTGTCATGGGTAGTTCAGGGCACATCCTAGATAATAAAAGCCTAATATGCTAAGTGTCTGGTTGTCCAATTGGCTATTCAACCAATCACAGTGTAATATGCTAATGATATGCTAAGACCACTCAACTGCTCACAATGACGTGCACTGACCACTAGGAGGCAGACACTCCCATTGGTAGGTTATCTTCCTGCTGGGGTCTGGCCAATCAGGACTGGGCAAGAGGACCGTACACGCCCTGGATCCCCCCCTCCCCCGTGGCCCCTCCCCAGCTGGCTAACATCCCACGTCCCTCCCTGGCCTGCGCCCTCTCACAACCTGAGCTGAGGGCCCCCTCCCATTGTGTGCATGATTTTCATGCACCAAACCTCTAGTATAGAATACTAGAGGCCCAGTGCACAAAATTCGTGCACGGGGAGTGAGGTGTGTGTCCCTCAGCCCAGCCTGCACCATCTCATATCTGGGACCCTTTGAGAAATGTCGACTGCCCATTTACGGAGGAGGGGGCTCCGTCCAGGTGGCCCAGGTCGGAGGTCGGGGCAGGTGGGTTTCGGGTCCCTTTTACCCCCAGGCCCCAGCCCGGGGCCTACCCTGGGCGGTCAGGGCGTGGATCTGGTCGTTGCCCAGCCAGAACTCGCCCAGCTGGCTGCCGAAGCCCTGCTTGTAGGCGGCCCAGTCCCGGTAGAAGTCCACGGAGCCGTCCACCCTGCGCTGGATCACCTGGGGGAGGGGAGACGGCGCTGCCGCCCAGCACAGCCCAGCCCACACCCAGGACCCCGGGCGGGCAG